GTGTTCATGACTAACCTTTTGTTTAGGTTGTCTATTATTTTTATTTTTATCTTTCTTAGGTTGAGCTCTAGGTGGTTTACGGTTGTGCTCAACTTTTTCTTTATTTTTAGGTTCATCAATCTTCCTAAAACCTATTCCTTGTTTAGTGTATTGCATAGAATCAAAAACGAGATTAAGATCCTTATGTGGTTTATTAAATTTCTTCACCGTGTTTTCTAATTCAGCAACTTGTTCTTTCAAAGCTATGCAAGAGTCACAATGTTTTGTAGAGCTCTCGGGTTTGTCGGCGCTTCTTTTACCATAAAATTTGTTTTCAACTTTTAGTTTTTCGTTTTCCTTTTGAAGTTTTTCAAACTCAATTTCAAGATTAGAAAAACGTTTCTTTAAAGCTTTGTTGGTTTTAGAAGCGCTAACAAACTCGTCATAAAGCTCTTGGAGAGCTTCTTGTATTTCTTCAAAAGAATAAGAACCGGTAGAAGAAATACGTACCTCTTGGTTTTCGTTGTTGGCGGACTCCTCTTCTTCTTGAGCTATGAGACAAAGATTTGCTTCCTCTTCTTCCTCTTGTTCGCTTGATTCATCGCCGGAGTCTCCACCCCAGGAGATGTATGCTCTTTGCCTTTTGAAGTGCTGAGAATTCCTTCCGCTTTTCGGGCATTTGTTCTTGATGTGCCCGGCTTCACCACATCCATAGCACACAGGGCCATCCTCAACCTTCTCTTTCTTTCTTAGAAGTTTACAAAACTTCTTCATGACAAGCTTGACTTCATCATCGTCGCTTGAGTCATTCATCGTTGGTTCTTTGAAGGCTTTTAATGCTATGCATTTCCTTTGATCATTCAAAGACGGGTTAAGTATAGTAGATTCATAGGTTTTTAGGTTACCTCTTAAACCGTCGATGGTGACATTTGATGTGCCGATTGGCTCATAGATGGCATCGGCCTTAGATCGCTATTCGAATGTCAAGCTCCGTAGGATCTTTCGTACAAGATCCCTGTCGGTGTAAGTCTTCTTCAATGCATGAAGATCGTTGACTATCTTGGAGAACGGTCGAACATATCGTCAATCTTCTCGTGCTCCTTCATCCTAAACATCCCATACTCTTGAGTGAGGAAGTCGATCTTGGCTTCACGTACTTGGTCCGTTCCATCGTACGTCACCTCAAGTTTATCCCACATCTCTTTGGCGGTTGAGCAGCAAGAGATCTTGCGGTAGTCATCAGGATTTACGGCACAATAAAGCATGTTTATTGCTTTTGCATAATTCTCGACCTTTTTGATGTCCTCGGCATCAAACTCGTCTTCGGTCTTGGGGATCAACTTGTCTCCGACTTTCTTCATCGGCACTTCTTCCCCGTTTTTGATAACCAACCATAATTGGAAGTTCGTGGAACGAATATAGATTCTCATTTGTTCTTTCCAATATGTATAATTGGTTCCATCAAAGAGAGGTGGCCGTGTGGTTGATTGCCCTTCACCTATTCCTGCATGCAAATTTCTAGAAGAAGAACCCATGATCGCTTTACTCTCAAACGGTTAAGTTTGGACGCGAGTTAGGCTCTGATACCAATTGTTAGAATTAGTGACCAACGCTAGAGGGGGGGTGAATAGCGTTTGATCGTAGTAATCGCAGGAATAAAAAAAATTAAGAACGTGAAAAATAAAGATCGTAGAAAGCGTAAAGGGAGCACACCAAGATTTATACTGGTTCACCACAACGTGTGGCTAATCCAGTCTCCCGAGAGACTCTCTCGAGCTACACTACTTCCGTTAAGCTTACGGGTGCTTAACAAACCGTTACAACCTGAGAACTCGAGTCCCACGAGCCTCAACAACACTTGCTCGGAGATACCGCACTCCAAGACTTCAACCCGAAGGAAAATACCTTTCCTTCGTACAACCAAGGGAAACAAGCTTCCCTTAACGTGTATACAACACT